TGTGGTAAAAGCTGTCTTCCCTGCTCCAATTTACAGCAGAAAGTTAGGGAGTGGCTATGATATTCTATTCACTTCTCCTTTGCCAGCAACCCAACACATGCCTGAACTCACAGCAAGTGCAAATTAAAAGTCTGATGGGTGTATCAATACATGTGTGGAGAGGTGGACAAGTACATGGAAGTATGAATAAATTTATAGTAGATCCCTTTTTGGTTTTTCTTTCCATAGCTTCAGTTATTTGTGGTCAATCATACTCTAATATTAAATGAAAATTTTTATAACTAAACAAGTTTCACATTGTGTACATTCTGATGGCATGAACTTTCACATCATCCCACCCTGCTGTGGCTGGGACATGAATCATCATTTCATCCAGTGGATCAACACTGAATACACTACCTTCCCTTTAGTCACTCAGAAGCTATCCTGGTTGTCAGATTGACTGTTGCAGTACTGTGGTGCTTTATATAGGGTGTGGTACTCTCCACAGTTCCAGGAATCTTTTGGAGTACTGAAACACATTCCTGCAGACAGGGAGAGACTACTGTGTAGGAAAACAAAATTGTTTCTCTCACATTCTGTAACACTTAATAGATATCAACTTGAAAGTTTTCATAGCAGCTAGTCATTCACTTTTAGGCATTAGTAGTCATATATTCCAAATTTTCTGCCTTATACCTAGATAAAACTCTGCCTACTATAAGCAAAATATGTGATTTATCTCCAATCTTCGTTGAAACTGCTAGGTTGAGATGCCTCTTAATAGTATTCTACAATCACTATTTGAGCAGCTGTCAATTGTCAAGCACACTCTGAGTAATCTGAGACCTATTAAAAATACACACAATCCGAGAGCTCACACATTAAAGATTTAACTAGAAAATGGAACTCTGGTGTCATGGCTGTCAAATTATGTCAAAAATACAGAAACAAGAAAGAACATGCCTTATGCTTGTTATACAACTAGTTCATTGTGGTTGTAATTTGGGAAACATTTGGCTGAGAGGTCCACTTAAACATTTAATAAAAATATGAATAACCAAGTAGGAAACTCTGGAAACAAAACGAAATAGGAGAAAGTGCAAAATTCACCCAATTAAGTTAGTTCCTGTCACCCTCACAATATATCCTCTAGCCTACACACTGATGACTCACTGTTGTCTAGCTTTGATTTCTATGTGCCACCTCACACTCAGTTTTTCTCCAGACAGAACTCTTCAACTTCCTTCCCCCAAATTTGTAACTCCCATAGGGATAAAATCATCTCCAGCAACCCAGTTGCTTGTACCAGAAGCCTGGGTTATCCTTAATACTCTCTTCTCCTTGTCACCACTTCCAGTTGATTAACAAGCCCTGTTGATTCCATTAGCTTAGGTGGTCTTCCATTGTCTGTCATGGGTCACTACACCAGGATAACTATGTTCCTCCAACCCACTCAGCCCAAGCAGTGCTTCTCATGCTGTGACGCAGTGCTCACTTGAGATGCTCAGTTGAACAAAAATCCAGATATCTGCTCTCAACTCGGACAACTCAAAGAACTTCTGCCCAAGTTCCAATTTGAGTCCAGGAATCTGCACATTAATAAGCTCATTTCCACCTTTTGCCATTAAAGTTTAACAATCTCTAATATATGAGGCAGGCCAGTTGAGAGGTTAAAAGTGGATGTCTTGAGCCAGATTAAACCTAACCTGGAATTCTAGCTGTGTGTCTTTGGACAAATAACTTCTCTGTACTTTTGCCTCCTCACTGGGAAAATTAAGCCAATAGTGAACTAGCTTTTGGATTGTTAGGAGGCTCAAATGAATTAAAATGAAAGTGGTAGTATATATTGATTCTCACCAATATGCCTGGTTCTCTTCTGTTTCTTAACACCTGAGAAGGTTGTATGTCTCTGCCCCCATGAAGTTAAATATGGTCGTACAATTTAGGCCAAAGAAATAGGAGTGAAAGTAATGTGGTCACTTCTGAAGGAAGCTTGGGGAGAGGGTTCTCCATGTTCCCTCTTCCTTTGCCATGCCAATCATATAAAGCATATTGTCATGGAAGTGTCGAAGAAACAGTATAGAGCACTGACCAAGATATGGTAGACAACTGCCCACTGCTCTGTGAGAAGAAATAAATGTGTATCGTGTCAAGATCCCAAGATGTTAATGATTATTGTTAGCACTGCATAGCCCAGACCTACCTAACCAGCATAATTTTAAAGTTCTTAAGAGTTGGCTTGGTGCAACTGCTTCATGATGGCTTCAGAACAAAAGTCTCGCAACAAGGCTTGATGGAAGAGCAATTTTTTTTTTTTTTTTTTTATTTGACAGAATTAGAGAGAGGTCTTCCCTCCGTTGGTTCGCTCCCCAAATGGCTGCTACGGCCAGAGCTATGCCAATCGAAAGCCAAGAGCCAGGTGCTTCCTCCTGGTCTCCCATGTGGGTGCAGGGGCCCAAGCACCTGGGCCATCCTCCACTGCCTTCCTGGGCCACAACAGAGAGCTGGACTGGAAGAGGAGCAACTGGGACTAGAACCCGGCGCCCATATGAGATGCCAGCACAGCAGGCGGAGGATTAACCAAGTGAGCCACGGCGCCGGCCTTGGAAGAGCAATTTTCCCTCTACTAACTTAATCATATACCAACTCAGGCCACTCATGTGTTGACAACCCCTTGATTGCTTCTTAAAAAAAAAAAAAAAAAACTAATGTGCATTCAGCCCTGCTTGTTCTCCAGCCTTATCCTACTCACTCTTCCACACATTCTCTTTCCAGCTGTCCTTCCCATGTTCCTTCAATGTGACAAACCACAGTTCTGACAAAGAGCCCTTGTATTTTATAGACTGTGGGCTTGAATTCTCCTCCCACACCTTTTGCCATCTTCTCGTCTCAACTTTCACGTCAGACCTTTAGGGAGGCTTTGTTTTGTCCATCAATTGGAGGTAGATGCTCCTTTACATGCCTTCCTTATCTTATTCAGTCTACACCTGTTCTGGGCCTTTCATGTTATTCACTGTGATTTATAACTAATTTTCTTGCCTGTGCACTCAATTCTGTTTGTCCAGCACCAGAAAAGAAGCTCTGTGTGGAGGCCCACATCTCCTTGCTTTAGTATCCAAATCATAAGAGTCCCTGGGACACAGCTATATGAGATACAGTGAAATGGGTGAGGCAGAAGAGGTGGAAGAGGAGGAAGGGAAGATTGTCTGAACAATAAAATACTGCCCCAAAATGACCATACTCAAAAGAAATTGAATTTATAGCAAACATATTGAAAACTCTGAGTAACGTCTCTTTTAAGAATGACACCTTAATTAAAAAAATACACTATAAGATATAAACATTCTTGTCAAATAAGTAACTCAATAAAATGCACATTGAAATCAGCTTTTATTACAGCAATGTATTGCAAACACACCAGTCCAGAATCTGAGTTCCACCTTTTATTTTGAACATTTCACTCATTAAAAATCTGATATATTTGGTCCAAGTGATGACATATTCAACTAAAACTTTTCTGTAGTGTAAACAAACTTAGATCAAGTAAAATCAAAACCAAGTGTATCTGTAAAACCCAAGAATGATGTGAATGGATTAGAACTTCTTGTGGCTTTTACTTCACTGTTTATAACAAATTTTGAGAGTATTTGGAGAGTCACAATATTTTTTTCCAAGGACTGCACACTAAGACATAGAATGTCTTTTCTATATGCACTTGTCAAATATCACAGACTGAGATGTCTGAAACAGTAGGTCACAAAGTGACCAATCAAAATCTCTAGTCAGTTAAGTGGGAGGAATTCTCTAGGGTGGTTGTGGTTCAAGCCATCTTGATCGGCCTTGTGCAAGCTTTCTTCTTCGTCAGTGCTGCTGCCTGCAGGAGGAGTCATACGGCGTAACTGAAAGGGATTGGCTGTTGCTTATCTGTCTCTACCTCCTTTTATTCCATACAAAGACAACAAACACTATTTTCCTGGATCCCTAAAAGCACACAAGTAGACCTTACTGTTTGAACCCACTGGATGAAGAGGTCTTCTTCCACCTGTGCACTGAGAACACTCAGAACAGGAGACCCTTAGGAGGATAGAGGACCAGAGAACTTGGTGATCCTACAGACATTATCCACCTAACTAGCCTTTCCTGATTCAGAAAGAACCCAGTGGCTTCCCTTTCTCTTTCTTTTCTTTTAAGATTTATTTATTTGAAAGAGTTGAGAGAGGGTTGGGGGAGACAGAGGAGAGAGGAGTGACAGGGAAAAGTCTTCCAGCCGCTGGTTCACTCCCCAAATGGCTGCAATAGCTGGAGCTGCGCAAGGCTAAAGCCAGGAGCTTCATCTGGATCTCCCATGTGGATGCAGGGGCCCAAGCACTTGGGCCATCTTCCACTGCTTTCCCAGGCGCATTAGCAGGGAGCTGGAAGGGAAGTGGAGGAGCCAGGACTTGATCCGGCACCCTTATGGGATGCTAGTATCACAGGCGGCAACTTTACCTGCTATGCTGTAAAGCTGGCCCCACAACCAGCTTCTTGTTATAAGTTACCCCCTCCCTACATTTTAAAATTAATTATTAGGAATGAAAAGGCACATGGTTTTCTTTCATTTCTCTTTTTACCTAGCAAACAACAGAACTCAACTACTTATCAGATATCTAGATTTTTTTGTTTGTGGGCAAAAAGGGTTAGAGTCTATTAGATTCAACTTCATTTCTTCTCTTTCTAGAGATTTTCAGGCTTTTCTGGATACCAGAAGATAGACCGTTTCCTTGTAAAGCCATGGGAAAGCATTTACTTAGCAAGAGTTAGGCATTTGAACTGCTGTTACTGCATGGCAGATTACAGTGAATAATACAATTCTGTCAGCCTTAGTTCAAAATTACCCTTTCCTCTGTTAAGCTTCCTAATGAATGAGTGGGTGAAAGTTTGAATACTTACCCAAAGAAATGCAACTTTTTTCTGGTGACACTCAGCTAAGACCAGGAAATTTAAGATAATATTTATAAATGCAATAAAAAGAACCGATATACATTGTTTAAAATTTTTATTTGCTTACAAAAGAGAATAAAAATTGGTTTGCAAAAAATTATCTACATGTACAAATTAATCCCTGTAGACAAGGGGAGGCAAGTCCTGGAACTTACTGCTGGACAAGTCACTTATTACAACTGGAGTACTTTTTCATCAGTGCTGGTGGAAGTCATTTTTTTCCATGAGACAAAACCCACTGAAAACCTATGTCTACTTTTTAAATCACCAAATTCATAAATATTATATTCTGACACATTTTTGGATACCCGTGAAACCAGTTACCAAATAATCTCAGAATTGGACAGATCAATTAAGCAAGAGGTAGTTTCTCCAATAATATCCCTTTTTTATTATTGTCCAGGTCATTCCCATAGTGGGTAGGGTAGTCAGTACAATCTTTGACTCTCGGTTAATCCTATCGCTACAGGGACCCCATTTTCCTCAAACACAACCTTCTCTATCTTGTTCATTTCAGGACTGGAGAGAGAAAATTCCAAGGTTCAATTTTATTTTACCCAATTCCTTTTTGAGCACTCTTCTCTGGAACGGAGTTTTTATCTGGTATGTCATTAAAACCACAACAGGCAATCACTGCTATGGTGCCATAGATCAAGGTGATTTTTTGATATACTTTTTTGTTAATCTCCTCTTTGGATAATTTTAATATTATTAACACTGCTGAAATGAGCCCTCCCAAAATAGCATACAAACCAAATAACAACACTTTCTTGAAAAAGGTTTCTTGAGAGTTTTTGTTGTTGGTCTTCAAATTTCTCCTGAGGCTGTCAGATCCCAGGGCCCCACAGTTCCATGGCTTCATCCTCATCTTGGACAGGGGTGAATTCTGGCTGATCCGGATGGGGAGCTAGAGAGGAAAAGTGGGGGTGGGGACTTGATAGGACCCAGACACCATACATTGATAGTCTCCTCCCACATGGGTCCTTAGAGATGCGGGTTTGGTCAGTACACTACAGAGATATCCTGCTTGGGTAGAAAGCAGTAGATGCCTTAACCCACCACATCGCTTGCACCTTCCCCACAGGGTTACAGAGGATTAATAAAAGAAAGAAATATTAGAGAAATTGTTAGAAAACCAGAACCATAGCCAACTGCTTAAATATTATGTTTTATTTACAAAAGAAACCCTGGAAACTCAGTAGAATTATAAAAGAAAAATATATTTTAAAATCTCTTGTTAGAATTCCATCACCAGGGAGGTCATTGGGAAAGAACAGAAAGTAAGGTGGTCAGGGAGAAAGATGCCCATCCATCTTGTGTGGGGACAGGGAATAAGAGAAGGCATATTTAGGTAAACTGATTACAGAGCCTTCACAGAGGGGAGTTTGGGATAAATTGCTGATACAAACATCTACCTCTACCCAGGCTGACAGAGCTGTTTCTATTGCAGTGGACATACACAATTTGGTAAAGTTCCAATGTTATCGCTGGATTGTGTCTGTAGCAGGGAGCTAAGAGATTTGAAAACGGGAAGGCAGAGAAGCAGGTGAGGCAGGAAAGCAGAGTGTCCATTGTTAGGGGCAGGGGCTTGATGGTGGTGGTGGTCAACAGGACAGTTCTGTATCCAAAGCCAAATGCCCAGGCCAATGTAACCAGAGTGGAGGATTTTCACTTCAGTGCTGGTAGTCATTGTAAGGAATCAGGTCTTAATATAAGACAGGGGGATTTGAGAAAGCAGGGAGGGAAAAGATGAACACAGAAAAACACATCAGCAAAACTTTGACCAATGTCGCTGGTAACCAAGGTTAAATTTCTCCTGAAGCAAAACATGTAAATTCACTGACTAATAAGTGAATTGCCCCAGAGCAGTCTCTGAAGGGTCCCCTTGATGCTTCCGAGAGTGACTGTGTCAGAAAAGGTCCCACAGCACAGCAGCATGCAAACTGCAGATGTTCCTAAGAAGCATAATCTTTCAGAATTTCAGCCCAGGAGTTAGTGATGAGACATGGACCACATGGCCACTCTGTGTCTCCTTAAGACTATCCCTCACCACCTAAGGCAGGCAGGAGGTCGCTCATGAGAATCTCAGGGGAGCAGCCCATTATGGAGGAAGTTCTAACGTGGAGGTTTCCACAACAGTGAAATTTTACAATATGGCATGGCTGCACCGCAGTAGTTGACAGAGACTAGGAGTCTCCACAGAACATCTGATCATGTCCATCACGTGATCAAACATGAGGTCACAGGCCAAGTCTATGTGGATCTACCATCTGAAAGCACCCCAAGATACACTGTCACTTTGAATTTCCTCTTAAAGTTTTTAAAGAAGTAACCTCAAGTAATTTGCCTCTGGACGCCTCTGGATAAATTAAGGTAGTGAAGAGTTCAAGCTCTGTTTCCCTCTTATAAGCGATGTACTTTCATCCCACTCTTACCACATCTTGGTACTAACCATAGTAAAGGTCTGCTCAAAGCCCACCAAAGGTTGGGACTTACCTCCCACACCATAGGCAGAACATGAGGAGGGGTCACAATATCCAGGCTGGCCAGAAGGACCTTGGGGTCCAGGCACCCCCAGATGACCAGGTGGACCCCTTGGTCCAGGAGAGCCAGGGGGCCCAGGACTGCCAGGCCGACTTTCTCCTGAAGGTCCTAAGAAGCACAGATAAATGAGAAGTGTTGATCTTTTACCATAACAGCTTGAGTCTTAAAACAACTTAAAAGTAAACTAACTACAACAAGAAGCAAACATACGTATGTTGCCCATTAACATAAACTGCCTTCTTCTTCCCATTGAGCTTTTTTTTTTCTTAAACCCATTTCATGGACAGAGAAGATCATCCTGTAAGCACACATTCTCTGGGAGGTCAATGCTTCTAATCAGCTCAGGAAACTGGGAAGTTCAGATGTCTTCTTTTCTGTGATCTCCTGGGTATTACAGTGAAAGGAATATTCTATCCTCAACAAATTTCATTTTTAGAGTTTGTTTCTCAAACAGTTCCTTATGAACCCGATGTAGTTCCTTATGAATTTCATGTATAGGCATGCAGACATAACCACACATATACACATTCAAATAAAACTTCATAATCTATTTAAAACAGTCATATAAATTAGTATTGGCTTAGGGACCTAGGTAATTAAAATAAATTAATCTGAGTCTGAAAGAAATTATCCTGGAGGAGACAATCTGCAAGGAGACCCAATATGCAATTCAGGATTTTTTGGGCTAGCTTCATTGACAAAACTTATATTGAATGTAAATAGAAAGATTAAAATTTTTGTAAAATTAAGAAATTTTTCAGTTCTATATGCCTACTTGGTTTCAGACCTGGGTCTAACTATACTTTAGACATTCTTCAACTAGAACTGAAATGCTTCATGTAGAACTGAAATGAAAAATACTAAGTATCCCCTAATATTTGGATAGCATGGTAACTCAGATACATTCAATTCTGCTCAATCGATACTCCTCAAAAATCCATTCTGCTGTAATATGTGCACCAGATCAATTCTCATAATCAATCTCTACCTACAGAGGTACTTACACTCAAAATGAAGCTTTTGCATTAAGCCTTTCTCTCAGAAGTGTATTCTAATATTAGAATTAAAGTAGAAAGAGGCCGGCACCGTGGTGCAGTAGGTTAATCCTCCACCTGTGGTGCTGGCATCCCGTATGGGTGCTGGTTCAAGACCTGGATGCTCCACTTCCAATCCAGCTCTCTGCTATGGCCTGGGAAAGCAGTAGAAGATGGTCCAAGTCCTTGGGCCCCTGCACCCACGTGGGAGACCATGAGGAGGTACCTGGCTCCTAGCTACGGATCAGCACAGCTCTGGCCATTGCAGCCATTTGGGGAATGAACCAACAGAGGAAAAACCTCTCTCTGTCTCTCACTGTGTAAAACTCTGCCTCTCAAGTAAGTAAATAAATAAAATCTTTTAAAAAGTACAAAGAAAAACTTATAAAGCATTAGATTTTTTTAAACTTTTTTATTTTTTGACAGGCAGAGTAGACAGTGAGAGAGAAACAGAGAGAAAGGTCTTCCTTTGCCATTGGTTCACCCTCTAATGGCCACCACGGCCGGCACACCTGATCCGAAGGCAGGGGCCAGGTGCTTCTCCTGGTCTCCCATGGGGTGCAGGGCCCAAGCACTTGGGCCATCCTCCACTGCACTCCCGGGCCACAGCAGAGAGCTGGCCTGGAAGAGGGGCAACCGGGACAGAATCCGGTGCCCCAACTGGGACTAGAACCTGGTGTGCCAGCGCCACAGGCGGAGGATTAGCCTATTGAGCCGTGGCGCTGGCCAAGCATTAGATTCTATGTGACTAAGATTGGGATTATAAGTATTCAATAGGATTGTAAATTTCACAGTTTCAAATATCAAGTCTGACCATCTAGAGATCATTCTAAGACCACATAATTTTGTACTGAAAACTCTAAATTTCTCCAAAGCTCATTCAATAAGACTACCATAACAGGACTGATGAGTGCTCATCAAACATCCATGAGTTCCCCAGGTTTCATGCATCCCATACAAATCATTTGGGGCTGTGTGATTAGTGCCCGCCAGTGAGATATGAATGGAAGTAACCTATGACTCTCTTTGGAAAGTTGAGACCAGTGTGCTTCCTCTTTCTTTGGGAGGCCATACAATGCATTAATAAAGTCACAGATCACATAGTAGGGGAGAGCACCCTACATTAAGTGTGAGTGTGAAATAAAGCTTAAGTGGGTCAATTCACTAAATGGTTGGTGTTTATTTGTTAATATAGCATAACCCATCCTATTCTGATACAACCAATAAGACCTTAGAGTATTCTGTAACATTTTGGGCTTCTATATTGAGAGCATTGTTACTGAAAAACTGACCTCTCAAGAAAACAAATGAGAAAGAGAGCCATTCCAATTAGATTCAAGGATAGAATAAGGCCATTCTTTTTATCTGCAACATTCAGTGAATATAAAGATTTGCATCATGAAGTTTGTTGCTAGGTAGGAAGCTGTACCTGCTGGTCCTGGGGGGCCTCTTGGTCCTTGCGTTCCAATGCCTGGATTTCCTTTCTCCCCTTTGATACCAGTTAGTCCTGTTTAGAAGAAAAAAAAAGAAAAAACTTCTCTCTTAAAATGTAAAATGAAATCAGGATAGTTTTGCTTTCTTCTGGGTTTCAAAAGTACTACTTTGCTGAAAACAATGAAGTGGAATGAGTGGGGTTATGAGTATCATGAGGATTTTAAAGTAAACTCTGACTCTGGTAGCTTCTGCAAAATTTTCTGGAAGACTGGTTCTGTCTCTGATCCTGTAGTCTGTATTTGCTATAATGCAAGTTTATCTTTTTCTTTCCCACTGAAGTGGGTCAGACTGCCAGGAACTGGCCTCTTTACATGCACCAGGCCATTCAACGTATGCAGTTGGCACTCCACAAGTAATACAACAGAAATCACCAGTGAACACGTCTAACATTTTCCTTTTAGTCCACTCTGTAATGTATCTGCAAAAGGCATGAATTATAATTAGGTAACAATATTCTGAAGAGCGTGAGTTTCCATTAAATATTTGGAAGCTTCAGGAAAACCTGTGTTTGATTTGGCTGATTCAGTCCCATAAAAATCTAAACCCATTTGTGTTTCTTTTCCACTAAGCAGCCCTCTTGTTTCCACATACTTTACAGTGAGATTAGCAAATGATACAGTTTAAAAGGCAAAAACAAAAACCCAAAGAAACATATACCCCAATAACTCATCCAAACAGGTCCTATTACAAGATCACCTGACAAGTGAGAACACCTGTACTGAGATGATGCTTAACCCAAGACAAATTCATCAGAACTGGGTCCAGGTCACCCTGGCCCACACCACAGAAAGTCTGTGCTGTCTGCTTTACATATGCAATAATGCTTAGAGCAGGATACAGAGCTGCATCTGTTATACCTACTGAGAAATTATGCCAAATTGGAAACACCCAGTGAAGAATATAATCGAGAACAGCCAATCTGATAGACAGTAGGCATTAAAGGGATTAAAAATTTTTAACTACAAATAACTTCCCCCTTTCTATAAATGCCATCTATATTCACTATGAACAAATCAGAAGATACAACCAGGAAGATTCTAGTACTTGAAAACAATCACTGTTAACGTCTTTCTTCCTAACTTCAGAAAGATGTTGATAAAGTATTTGTTCTGGGAATGGCTGGTAAAGAAGATAGTGATGAGCAGCTCATGGGTTTGTTTTTCTTTTTATCCTGTACATAGCATGTGTGTCCCTGTAGTTTGGGTATCTTCCTTATTTTTTTTTTTTTTTTTTTGTAATCACCTCTTGGAGCCAGGATATAACCTGATATCTTTTGGGGAAAACGCCCCTCTTCCTTGCTAGCAGTCATCCAGCCTGGTCTCCCCACGGCTAAACTTCCCAACAGCCAGTCCTATTGCACATGGCTCTGGTGGTGGTATCTGAGCTCCAAAAAACCAGTACTTCAATGAGATCCCAGGAGCTGTTCCTGTGACCTCCTGTTAAGACCTGACTTTTCCTTAGGTTCCAACGAGGAAGACAGTGATTCCTTAAAAACAAAAATACATTCTCATCTGAGTTTCTAAAGCACACAACTAACTGACTAGTCATCATTTAATGTTCTATTTCTAATCAAATTGTTCAGACAGAAAACCATTAGTTCAGGAGCTGAGTTTGGCACATTTTACCTCATTCTTGTGCCTTATTGTACGTTACAGGATTTTACCAACAAAGGTGCTTTTTCTGTTAGCATTGGCATCACTTGTGTGGGCATTGGCAGCAGTTGTCACGGCTTGAGACACCTGCATCTCACATTGGAGTGCCTGGTTGTAGTCCTGGCTACTGTGCTCCCATTCAGCTTCCTGCTAATGAGCACACCGAGAAGCAGCAGATGATGGCTCCGATACATGGGTCCCTGTGACCTATGTGGCAGAACTGTAATGAGTTCTGAGTTCCTAGCTTCAGCCAGGCCCAGACTCAGTTGTTACAAGCATTTGGGGAGTGAACCAGTGGATGGGAGATCTGTTTGTCTCTGTCTCTTTCTGCCTTTCAAATAAAATAAAAATAAAATTTTAAAAATAATTGGCATCAGTTTCCTGCAGGAAACCACTAATATGACTTAGAGCAAAACAAAATATACTGATGACTAATACCAGGCTGCTCTTAATTAACTGCAAGGTGACTCAGAGACCTCTCATGACCTCATGGTGCTGCAAGGTCATCCCTAACCACATGGTTTATTGGTGGCTGATTCTCCACCAGTAAAAGACATAGATTAGGCTGCATAGGATATCTGTGAATATATCCTTAGGAATAACTCCCTAGATTTCCTGACTTATCCTTTGCTTATTAATAAGAAAGCAAAGGGCGGAGAAGATTGGGGAGCCAAAAGTCTTGTTGTTTTAAGTGAGAAAAATAATAGGATTTTTATATTATCTATAATAAAGTGAAACAATATTCCAGGCCCTCCATATGCCTTAAAAACAAATTATAAAGCTACAACAATATATTAACAGAATTTTAGATTGTATTATCCTTGAAGTTATACTGTGTTCCAAACTACATACAGACTAATACACTACTATCATTCCAAATGGTTCTCGCACTAAAGGAGTATTCATTTCCATGTCAGCTGAACTTGGCTGTAGATCTTTAGTTGGGATGAAAATAATGTTAAAAGTTAATGTTTAAGTACTAAATTTAAAATTAAAAGCTAAGCTGACAGATTTATAATATCTAAAAATGGATCTGAATATATTTTTTGATAAGCCTTATGGGAAATCTACCATGCTAAAACATCAGGCTGTAATTGCTCATGAGATGCCAAAGGGCAACCAAACTAGGGAGAAAGTCATTCTTTACAGATAAAATGCAGTCATTGCCATCATAAATCTCTTTTGCAAGGATCCTAGCTGGAATCACCTGGTGCTGAGATGGAGTCCCCAGAGATAAGTACCAACAGCCTTTCCACAAGGACATTAAAGCTTGGGAGACTCATGGGACTCCATGCAAGAGGTATACCCTCTTGAAACACCCTCTCACCTTGTTTGACTCCTTCACTACTACTACTCATTGAAGATCCAACTCAAAACTTCTTTAAAATCATAATAAGGAGTACCACAATGGATTCAAGAGGGTAAAAGTTATTTACTCATAACTATATCTCCAACACTTCTATAGCATCTTCTACATGATATACAATAAACAAATATTTCCTACATAAACAAATGAAGGAATTAATCTATGATAGTATCTGTGCCCACTTTGGTAACACTTGCCCCATAGCATTGCTTACTGTCAGAAATCCATTGACTGCAAGGACCAAGCTTATTTATCTCTCTAGCATCAACTGCAAGGAGAGTCTCACAGTTGATAGGTGGCCAAGTAAATACAGGAAGAATAAATGAATGCCTAGCCCAACACTTAGTTGCCTATTATGAGGAAGTATGACCTTTTAATTTCATACTCCAGGGTTATGTGCACACTGGTTTTATAATAAGTTTCCTGTGTGGGGGTAACAAGTACTAGTGCCTTTAGAGATGAATATAAGGTTCTGTGATTTTTTTTTCATGATTATAGTTAATATAAATGAAGATGTAACTTACTAAAAATAAGATTTGGCCAACATTAAAATACATTTAGTTGTCTTTATTTTAATAATTATAAAAAGTGAACAAATTACATACATACAGATTTAGGAGCAAAGTGATACTTCCTGCCCTACCTTCCCTCCCACTCATGCTCCCACTCTTTCCCCCCATATCCTTGCCAGCATTTATTGTTTTTTGATTACTGTTTGAGAGCCATTCTAACTGGGGTGAATGAAAGCTCACAGTGGTTTTAATTGGTATTTACCTGATAGCTAGTGATCCTGAACATTTTTTCATGTGCCTTTGGACATTTGAATTTCCTCTTTTGAAATATTCCTGTTCAAGTCCTTTTCCCATTTCCTAACTAAATTGTTTTGTTGTTGGTGAACTTCAGCTCTTTATAGATTCTAGATATTAATCCCTTATCAGTTTCATAGTTTGCAAATATCTTCTCCCATTCTCTCCCATTCTGTTGGATGCCTCTTCATTTTGTTGAGTGATTCGATTGCAGTGAAGATGCTTCTTTGCTTAACGTAATCCTATTTATCTATTTTTGCCTTGATTGCCTATGCTGTGGGGTCTTTTCCAAGAAGTCTTTGTGTATGCCAATGTCTTGCAGAGTTTCCCCAGTGTTCTTCTCAAGTAATTTGATGGTATCAGCTTGTACATTTAGATCCTTATCCATTTGGAGTTGATTTTTGTATACGAGTAAGGAAGGGGTCTTATTTCATGCTTCTGCACACATAAATCTAATTTCCCCAGCACCATTTGTTGAAGAGACTGTTCTTCCTTCAGGGCTTAATTTTAGTTTCTTTGTCAAAGATTAGTTGGTTGTAGATGCATGGATTGATTTCTGGGTTTTCCAGTCTGTTCCATTGGTCTCCATGTCTATTCTTGTGCCAGTAGCAGACTCTTTTGTTATAGCTGCCCTGTAGTATGTCTTGGAATCTGATATTGTGATACTTCCATTTCTGTTTTTAGGATTACTTTAGCTATTTGGAGTCTCTTGTGTTTCCATTTGAATTTTGGCATCAAATTTTTCCAAAAATGAGAAGAGTGCCATTGGTATTTTGATTGGGATCTATTGAATCTTTATTTGATGTTATTCTTTTCATTCACAACATGGAAGATTCTTCCATTTTTGGCCCTCTTTCTTTAATGTTTTATAATTTTCATCATAGAGATATTTCACCTCCTTGGTCAAATTTATTCCAAGGTATCAAGTTTTTTGTAGCTACTGTGAATGGTACTGATCATACAAATTCTTTCTCAGCCATGGCATTGTCTGTGTATACAAAGGCTATTCATTTTTGCATCTTTACCAAACTTTATTATGCATTCCAATAATCTTAGTGGACTCTTTTGGTTTCCCTGTATATAAGATCATTCCATCTGCAAACAGCAATAATGTGATTTTCTTCTTTCCATTTTGTATCCAATTGATTTTTCTTGTCTAATGGCCTAATGGCTCTAGCTAAAACTTCCT